ATGCCAGCAACCCTGTAGGGAGGGGTTAGTGGGTCTGTGAACTGCATGTATAAACTGCAGAGGGGGCTCTCATGGGAAGGTTGAGAGGACGAGTATTTTGCATGAGCTGAAGTAGGGTTCTCCTGACTCCCTTTGCCCACTATGACACCTGGCAGACTTTAAGCCTGGCTCAATGCAGTTGGTCATTACATAACATCCGTCTGGAATTGACATGAAGTTAGGGAAACATTGTTCCCTTACTTTAGTTTTTTGTCCCTTTTCTTTTATGGTCCATTTCTGTAATAAAAGTTTGTAACCAGCTTGTTAAATCCATTAAATACTAGCTTGGTGCTGGAACATCTGAGGTTATTATAGTAAGATGCAAGTGTAAGATTGAGCTATTTTTAGGGCAAGCCTTCTAGCCCCTTCCTCACACCAGGAGGTGAGCAGTGTGGTCCTTCAAAAATACTGCTCAGACACCCAGGCGGCTGCTGAATCCCACTGCTGCCTCCAGTGATAAGACAACCCTATGGCCTGGGTAGCCTGTGTGCAGGGTTGTGAGGAGAGCTCCCTGTGTGTCCGCACCTGCTATTTGTCACTTGCCTTTTGCCACAGGGCTCTGAAATATGTAAAAATGACCAAAGGTATGGGTGATGTCATTTGATTCATGTGTGATTTGCCTTTAAGTGCCGCACAGTTGCGTGAAGTTGTCAGCCTCCCTCTCCCCTCAACAGTGATCACAGTCCATTGGCAGGATAGTCAGGATGACTGGTGATGGCTGGACGGGCAGTGGGTGGCCTTGGCCTTTTTGGTGTCTAACCAAGCTCCAATCAGCCAGGTGAGGTAGGGAGATCTACTCCCAAAACAGTTTGGAATTGGAAGATCCTAGGGTGTCTGTTCAGAACAGTGGCAATTGCTGTTTACCCTCCCTTTGAGCCATCGAATCCCTAACAGTGACCCAGAGAAGGGACATCTTTTGATTCATGTGTGAACTGTGATTAAGTGAGGCAGAGTTGCATGAAGTGGACAGCCTCCCTCTCTCCTCCAGAGTGATCAGAGTCCAGCAGCAAGACAGAGTCGAGATGACTGTTGATGGCTCGAGATGCAGTGGGTGACCTTAGAGTCCTCAGTGTTTAACCAAGCTCTGAGTACTGCACGGCCTGCTTCACCTACCTTCATGGCCATTGGAGCGAATGATTCTCATCTGCCATTCTGCCAGGGGAAGTTTTCACAGCCTTGGTGTAGACACACCCTAATTCACCGAAAGGTTTGAGACCCCTTGGTTACTTTTAACTTGGTTACCTATATTTGTGTTTGTATGTGTGTCTGTGTGCCTCTGTGTGTGTGTGTGTGTGTGTGTGTGTGTGTGTGTATCCGAGTACTTTGGTGCCCTTGAATACTTGCATGCTTGTGGTCATGAATGCTAATTCCTCTACCCCCTCTCTGATCTGGCTCCAGTGCTGCTGCTGCTCTGTCCAGGCTCTGCCCCTCATCATGGGAGGGCAGTATCCTGGCCCTACAGGAATAGGGATAGCAGGCCTGTTGTCCTCAAATCAGGTTCTCAGGCATGTATTCCTGCAGATGGGAGTCATGAATGATTGCACAGGGCCAGTGAGTTCCCAGGGTGAGGGGAAAGACTGGATCCATCCTATAGATGAGGTTGCCTGAAGAAATTTAGGGACTATTCCACACACCTTGTCTATCCTGCCTGGGGAAAAGCAGACAGAGCTGAGAGTCCGGGTCCATTCCCCTGCATTGTCTACAGCTTCCTCTTCAGAAGCAGCTCAGGTCTGCGGACTTAGGATTGGGAGCAGAGGACAGAGTAAGAATGAGAAGCAGACGACATGGGAAGATTTGTGGTCCTTGGCTAAAGCCTACCAGGCAGAAGATTCTTTCTCTTCCTCCTTTTTCTTTCTTCTTAGTCTTTCTACCTCAACCGGGGTCTCTTTGACAAATGGCTCCTGCAGGAGGAGTGAACTGAGCCCTGTTCTCCCCTGAGGTCGATGGTTTTCTCAAGCCTGTGACTCTGGGGAAGCAGCTGCTACCCTCTGCTGAAGGGCTGAGCAGCCTGGAGGTTTTTGTTCAGGGCTGAAACACTGTGGGACTGCAGTACTATAATCCGCAAAACAGTAGTAATCTGCCACGTCCTCAGCCTCCACTGCACTGATGGTGAGGTGAAATCTGTCCCAGAGCCACTGCCACTGAACCGGTCAGGGACCCCAGACTGCAGGGTGGAAGCATAATAGATCAGGAGCCTGGGAGACTGTCCTGGTTTCTGCTGGTACCAGGACATGTACTTGCTAACGCTGGAACTGGTCTTGCAGCTGATGGTGACTTGGTCTCCTGCAGCCACAGACAGGGAGGCTGGGGACTGGGTCACCTCAATGGCTGCCTGGGATTCTAAAGAGAAGAAGAAAGAGATTGCAGTGAATGAAGCATCCTGTGTAGAGACAGTGAATGCAGGAGTAGTTCCCTTACCCTCAGGCTGTGTCAGAGATGCCCACTGGAAAACTCCTGTTTCTAAAGTGATGCCAAACTATGGTCATTGGAAGTCTTACCTTGAGGCCAGAGCAGTAGGATCCAGAGGAGCAAGGACTGGGAGAGCATTGTGACCCTGGCAGAGCTGGAGGCAGAGAGCTCTGAGCTCAGAGGGAGACAGATGGGAGATATTTGTATCTCAGGCTGGGTTTGAGAAGGTGCCTTGGATATCACCATGCAAAACAGTGCTGGCCCAGCCTGAAGTGAAGGACCCCAGGAGTGGTTATATTCACGTTGGAGGGAGTGGCCCAATTGTATTTCCTGGAAGGCTTCACCTCACATGGCCTCTGTTTTTATTGCTGTTTTTAAATGCACCTGCCTTAGGCTGGACATGGTGGTGGCTGTGGCAGGTGGCCAGTTGTGGTTATAAACAGGGGAAGCCTATCTACCTTCCCAGGAGAGATCCGATGGCTCCGGGTCTAGAGACCAAGAGTTGACAAGGGTCTATGCAAAGAACCGAGTGAAGAAAGAGAGGTCGGAGCTGAGTTAGAAAGAAAAGTAAAACCAGGGAAGTAACAAAATTTATAGAGGGTTAAGGTCCCAGGCTTAGATGGAATGGAGACGGTTGTGTGTATGTGTGTGGGGGGGGACTTGGAGATTCTATGGTCTACTAGGTGTTGCGAGGAGAATGTGTCCCTTGTGTTGTTGAGGAGAAACATTTATTCTCCTCTTCTGTGTTTCTGTTATATCTTTCTGAAAGCTAGAAAGAAAAAAAAATTGCTGGTCTTAACGTTTTTTTTTTTTTGTAGATGGGGAAACTGAGGCCAAAAGGAGCAAAATGGTCTTTCAGTTGCTATTTTCTTGTTAAAGTACATCTTGTCCTTTCCTCCACTGATGTCATGGCACAGCCCTGCCTCACTTAGGTCAAGTTCACTTGGAAGTCAAGCTATCCCTTCCTGATGTCATTAGTCGTCTTCCAGAAAGAATGATAAAGAAGAAACAACAACGACCAGCCCCCACCTTGGAATGTTTCCCTGTAGACAACCAGCTGGAGCCAGGGTGGCCCCTGACATTCTTACCGCTTCTGTTAGGATTCAGGGCATGAAGGTCAGAGCACCCATTTGTAAGTATATAACTCATTATACGAAAGTAATGAGGAAGGAAAGAGAGAGGAAAGGAGCATTGCCCAGCTGGAACTGAACAGTTGGATCCCCAGTGGGGCAGCTACTACTCCTCACAGATTGTTATTTGTACTTCATTCTTTTTAAAAATATGTTTCTTTTTAGTTTACAACATTCTCTTTTAGAAGATTTTGAGTTCTAAATATTTGCACCAGCTTACCACTCCACCCACAATGCATTAGTGTTCTAATTTTTACACATCTTCTCCAGCATTTATAATTTTCCTCTTCTGTCATGTTAACTAATGCAATAGGTGTGAGATGGTACCTCAGAGTTCTTTTAATGTGTGTTTCTCTAATCAATATTGATTGAGATCATTTTTTTTATGTGACTATAAGTAGCTTTAATTTCTGCATCTGAAAACTACGTGTTCATATCCTTTGACCATTTGTCAATTGGGGAATGACTTGTATTCTTCTAAATTTATGTCAGTTCTCTCTGTATTTTAGAAATGAGGCCTTTATCAGAGATACTGGCTGTAAAAATTATTTCCCAGCTTTCTGCTTCCTTTCTAATCTTGGTTGTATGGATTTGTTTGTGCAAAAACTTTTAAATTAATACGATCACAGTCACCATTTTGCATTTCACAACGTTCTCTTTTTCTCCTTTTGTCATAAGTTCTTCCCTTCTCCATAGATCTGCCAGGTAAACTATTCCTTGCTCTCCTAATTGTTTATAGCATCAGTCTTTATATCTAAATAATGTACTCATTTTGACTCTATCTTGACATGGTGTGGAAGACGTTGGGCTGCACCTAATTTCTACCATACCATTTTCATTTTCCTAGCACTTTTTGTCAAATACTTAGTTCTTATCCTAAAAGGCGGAGTCTTTGAGTTTATCAAACTGTAGATCCCTATAGTCATTGACTACTGTGTCTTGTGTACTTAATGGATTCCAGTGAACTACCACTGTATTTCTTTGCTGGTACCAAGTAGTTTTGATGATGGCTGCTTTTCAGTGTTTGTAGATCTGGTACACCTAGGCCACCTTCCAGTGCATTTTGTTTAATTAATTCCTTTCATATTCTGGAGCTTTTGTTCTTCCAGAACAAAATTAATGTTGTTATAAGTTTATAAAACAATTCTTTGTATTTTGGAATGGAACTGAATAAGTAAATTAATTTGGGTAGAGTTGTCATTTTGATTATATTGGCCAGGCACACCCATGAGCAGCTGATATTTTTCCACTTATTTACATCTGATCTTTCCTTCATTCTTAAAGGGGACCAATGAAATCAGGAAGGTGATGTCTTGACTTGCCAGGGAGTTGGATTCAAGCAAGGCATGGCTGTGTAAAGTCACCAGCCTCACTCTTTTCTCCAGAGCCATGGGGTCCGGTGGCAAGACATAGATCAGGATGAGTGTCAATGGTTCTTGAAACCTGAGAAAGAGAAATGAAAAACTGAGACCTGGGAAAGACCTCTCTCCCACTACATCTGGGGCCATCTTGCCTATCATTTTGACCTATGTCTTACCACAGGCCTCTGATGGGTCAGAGGGAGAGAGTGAGGCTGATGTCTTTGCACAGCCCCTGCCTCACTTAAATCCAATTCACTGGCAAGTCAAGACATCCCCTGCCTGATATCACTGGGCCTCTTCCAAAAAAGAAGGATAAACAAGAAACAACAACAAGCAGCGCTCACCTTGGAATCTTTCCCTGTAAACAAAACCAGCTGGAACCAGACTGGCCCATAATGTTCTTACCCCATCTGTCAGGATTTGTGTCATGAAGGAGAAAACAGCCAGAATGAAGTGGTTTTCCTTGCTCAGATTGCCCAAAGTAGCTGGAATCTCATGACTAGGGCTTGCTAGCTTCTCCTCGTCCTTCCTAAAGGCAAAAGAAGTTTTCATGGATCTCAAGATTGGGAAATCCATTTTGCTGTGCACTCATGGCACATCCCCCAGGGTGGCAGGCTGGGTACCCTAGGATCTCCATTAAAGAAGCTTTATTTCTCTACTTGTGGCTCTGGGTGATTTCAGGACTTGATACTCCCTTCTTAAGTAGGACTTGTTAATCAATCAATCAATCAATTAATCAATCAATCACTCATTCCACAAGCAATTGATTACATGATTCCTCTGTGGTAGACTTTATGGATACATTTGCAGCTGGATATTCAACATATTCTTACCTAAGCATCTGCAAAATAAAGATGAGGGAATTTTCAGGGGGAAAGTGAAGCCACCTTCTCAGGTACAAGCCTAGTGTTGAAAGACTGTGAGGATTCTAAAAGGTAGAGGGGAGGGCCTGCCTGTCATCTATCCAGTACAAAGTCATGGAGATGGGAATGTTGGGTGTGTAGAAGAACAAGATCAGGAATTGTCACCTGTGCCTTGGGGTGTTGTTGCCTTCTGACTCTTTGAAGGCTCTGGGATGCCTTAGAGTTTGCTGAGCTTAGATGTGGTGTATAGGATGTGAGACCTGCTTGAGCCCTTCATTACCCAATGAAGGCCAAAAACATGGACTGGCCAATCAGAGAAGATGATTTAAGTCCTTCTGGACTGAGACGCCATCAATCCTTTGGGATGGTCTCTGAGCAAACCTGACATTTTCCTGCTGTGTCAGCAACCAGAAGATCAGAATAAGCTTGCACACATATCCTGAGTCTGGGGCACTTCCTTGCTTTATGGCTGCATAATCCCCCATCCACATAAAGGATAAATGAAATACTAACTGTTAGGGAAACATCAGGAAGGATATTCAGCCCTAAGCTAAGTGAAATGTTGCTATTTAAGGTAAAAATTCTTAGGAGTGTAATTTACTATTGTTTTAAGCTTTGATTACAGATGTAGTTGTCTGAACTGTCCTGAAGGTAATGGTAGAAAAAGGCATCTACTGCAGTCTGGGCACTGCTAAAGGTGAATGTGTGTACAGGGAAAAGTTTTTGGGATGATGGTGGCAGGGCCTTGGTAGGATTCTCCTGACTCTGTTTCCTCATTGTTTTCTTTCTGAAAAGGAAAATTCTCAACTGGTTAATCCTGAGCCTTGCTTTTGACACCTTGTGGCTACATGATTAACTTTGAGATATGACTCATGCCTGGAATCAAACATAGCTGAGGGAGTTTTCCCCTTCTGTTATGATATAGGACATTTTTCCAACTATGTCCCTCTTTTGCCTTTCATAGCAAATTTCTATACTCAAGAAGTTTTGTAAATACAATACTAAATCTATTAAATAGTAGATTGATACTGGAGTATCTCTGAGTTACTATAATAGGTAGCAACTATGAATGTCTTATATTTTTAACCTATATTTCTAGTAAAATAATAATATAGGGATGATATTCTACTAAGGGGGAAATCTTTAGACAAAGTAATGAAACAAAGATGTAATGTGATCATTTTCTAATTAAACCCAATATTAAATTTTGAGAAAAGCAACAGGATTAGACAGTTTTCTCTAAGAACTCTATGTAGACCTCTATTTCTGTTACTATGATTACTATTGCTATGATTAACTTCTATATAGATGCACACAACTTATCTCTCATGGAAATTCAAGCTTTCAGCATGTTTTGGTGAAAAGTTCTCAATGGATTTTACACATTAATTGTATGGATAATGGCAAAGAAAATGAAGAAATTTTCCCATTATTAAAGTATCTGTTTGATAAATATAAAGGGTAGAAGAGCTCATTTTATTGTTGGACCCTCCAATTTTTACAAGATTCTTCTCTCAGGTACAGGAATTAGTTTCATTGAGGGCTGCTATTTGAATGGTTTACCTGCTGAGTTCCCTTGCAACAAGAGCTGTTCTTCTTTCAGGTCTATTGGATTTGGTGTTGTCTCTAAGTGTGTGCACATTCCTTTTACTGATGGTGAGTGGAATCGTCTTTGCAGCCATTTTTGTACATTTTTTTATCTTTCAACCACAGGGTAGGATCCCTTCCTGTAACGGTAACAGGCCAGGGTTGGGTAAGTCGAGAATTTTTAGGGCACCTTTACTAGCCCCTTCCTCCCACCAGGAGGTAAACAGTGTGGTCCTTCAAAAAGGCTGCTCAGACACCCAGGAGGCTGCTGAATGCCACTGCTGCTTCCGGTGAGAAATGACCCTGTGGTCTGGGTTGCCTGGTGCAGGGTTGTGACTACAGCTCCCAATATATCTGCACTTGCTGCTTCATCATTCTCCTGTCACCACGGCTCTCTGAGACAGGTAGAAATGGCAAAATGATATGGGTGATGTCATTTGATTCCTGTGTGATTTGCGTTTAAATGCAGCACAGTTGAATGAAGTTGTCAGCCTCTGTCTCCCTCCACAGTGATCACAGTCCATTGGTGATGGCTGGACATGCAGTGGGTAACCTTGGCTTGTTTGATGTTAACCAAGCTCCAAGCGCTCCACGGCTCCTGCTTCACCTGCCTTCATGGCCATTGAAATGGATTGTTCTCATCTGCCTATTCCACCAGGGGAAGCCTTCACAGCCTTGGGGTAGACACCCCTAATTCTGCAATGGCTTTGAGACCCCTTAGTTACCTTCAACCTGGTTGCCTATATATATGTTTGTGTGAGTGTGTGTGTGTGTTGCGTGTGTGTGCCTGTGTGTGTGCCTGTGTGTGTATGTGTGTGTATCTCTGTGTGTATATGTATGTGTATGCCTGTGTGTGTATGTGTATGTCTAACTCTGTGTGTATATGTGTGTGTGTGCCTGTATGTGTGTTTATATCTGACTGTTTTGGTGCCCTTGACTGCTTGTATGCTTGTGGTCATGAATAGTAATTCCTCTACCCCCTCTCTGATCTGGCTCCAGTGCTGCTGCTGCTTTCTCTAGGCCCTGCCCCTCTTCATGGGGAGGGCAGTATTCAGGCCCTATGGGAATAGGGATAGCAGGCCTGAGGTCTTCAAATGAGGTTTTCACACATGTGTTCTGGCAGATCACAGACAACAATGACTGCACAGTGCCAGTGAGTTCCCAGGGTGAGGAGAAAGACTGGATCCATCCTATAGATGAGGTTGCTTCAAGAACTTTAGGGACTGTTCCACACACCTTGTCTGTCCTGGCTGGGGAAAACCAGTCAGAGCTGAGAGTCCAGGCCCATTACCCTGCATTGTCTACAGTTACTCCTGAGGGCCAGCTCATGTCTCGGGGTCTCAGTTTGGGAGCATATCACAGAGGAAGAATGAGCAGCAGACCCATGGAAAGGTTTGTGGACCTGGCTAAAGCACAGCCGACAGAAGATTCTTTCTCTTCCTCCTTTTTCTCTCTCTTCTTACTCTTTCTACCTCAACCAGTGTCCCTGAGACAAATGGCTCCTGCAGCAGGGCTGAATTGGGCCCAATTCTCCCCTGAGGGCAGTAGTTGCCCCAAGCCTGTGACTCTGGGGAAGCAGCTGCTGCCCTCTGCTGAAGAGCTGAGCAGCCTGGGGAGGTTTTTGTTCAGGGCTGAAAACTATGGGAATACAGTACTATAATACACAGAACAGTAGTAATCTGCCACATCCTCAGCCTCCACTGCACTGATGGTGAGGGTGAAGTCTGTCCCAGAGCCACTGCCACTGAGCCGGACAGGGACCCCAGACTGCAGGGTGGAAGCAGCATAGATCAGGAGCTTGGGAGACTGTCCTGGTTTTTGATGGTACCAGGCCATCCTGTGCTAATGCTGGAACTGGCCTTGCAGCTGATGGTGACTTGGTCTCCTGACGTCACAGAGAGGGAGGGTGGGGACTGGGTCAGCTCAATGGCTGCCTGGCATTCTAAAGGAGAAGATGAGATTTCAGTGAATGAAACATCCTGTGTAGAGACAGTGAAAGCAGGAGGTAGTTCCCTTACCCTTAGGCTTTGTCAGAGATTCCCACTGGAAAACTCCTTCTGTCTCTAAACTGGTGTCAAACTATGGCTCATTGGAAGTCCTACCTGGAGGCTAGAGCAGTAGCAACCAGTGGAACAAGGACAGGGAGAGCATTGTGATCCTGGCAGAGGTGGAGGCAGAGAGCTCTGGGCTCAGAGGGAGACAGATGGGAGATATGTGTATCTCAGGCTGGGTTTGAGAAGGTGCCTTGGCTATCACCATGCAAAACAGTGCTGGCCCACCCTGAGCTGAAGGACCCCAGGAGTGGTTATATGCACAAGGAGGGAGTGGCCCAATTGTATTTCCTTGAAAGTGAGACCTCCTGTGGCCTTTTTCTTTTATTGCTGTATTAAATGTACCTGCCTCAGGCTGTACATGGTGGTGGCTGTGGCAAATGGCCAGTTGTGGTTATAAGCAGGGGAAGTCTGTCTGCCTTCCCAGGAGAGATGAAATGACTCTGGGTCTAGAGACCAAGAGTTGATAAGTGTCTATGCAAAGAACAAAATTAAAAAAGAAAGAGAGGAACTGACTTAGGAAGACAACTAAGACCAGGAACCAACAAAATTTAAAGAGATTTAAGGGCCCAGGTTTAGATGAAATTGAGATGGAGGCAACTTGGAGATGCCCTGGTCTACTAGGTGTTGTGGGGTGAATGTGTCCTTCGAATTTTTGTTGAATGTGGGGAGAGAGAATATATTCATTCTTCTCTTCTCTATTTCTGTTATATCTTTCTAAAAACTAAGAAAAAAAAAAGGATTGCTGGTTTCAAACTTTCCTTTTGTAGTGGAGGAAACTAAGGCCAAAAGGGTGAAATGGTTATTCAGGTGCCTTTTTCCCCTTGTTTTCTCTACTCAGAAAGCTGTCACCATGTATCAGGCACTCATCATCTCAAGGGTGGACTCTTGCCATGGCCATCTTGTTAGTTTCAATGCCTCCACTCTCTCCCTGCTCCAGCCAGTGCTGCACTCAGTTGTTAAATTGATCATCTGAGAGAGCAGGTCTCACCGCATCACCTCCCTACTCCAGAAACTACAGTCCCTCTGTATTACCTCCACGACTGAATAAAAAATCCTTTAAATCCATTCAGACCCTTGGTCAATTCCTCCCTTTCCTATTTCCTCACACTCTACCCACTTCCAAGCACCCCATGATCTTGTGACACAGGCCTTCTCTCTTTTTCTCATAAAGGACCCTCCTCTGTCTCTGTGCCCCTTCAGTGCTGTCCCATGTGCCTGGAATGCTCTTCTTCCTCACTGCCACTTCCTGGCTTCACGTCCTTCATGTTTGCTCTGAAACACACATGTGGGGAAACTTCCAGTGATATTTTCTTGCTACTATGATCTCCCCAAGAAGTCTTTTCTCTAATGCCCATACCTCATGCTGGACAGAGGAGTGTCTGTGGCAGGTTTCTGACTGAGTGTGCTTTTTCAGTTTAAAGTTTTTAATATTAAACTTACACACTAAGAGAAGAACATTTCCATACCTACAGCAGAACCCAGAAAGAGGATTCTGTGTGAAGCTATGAACCTCTCTTTCACACAATTGCAAAAGAATAAAGTCCATCCCTGTCACTGTAAACCGTCCTGCTTATCTATACATCCTTTTGTTCTTTTTCGTGCATTTAAGCAGATGATTCAATGCTCTACTATTTTCCTCCTCTCATGATTGCTCTTACCTCGTTCCGGAATTAAAAACTGAGAAGAAATAAAGAAAACACATCCCCTGTAACATACAAGCACAGTCCAGCAGAATGACTCTAGACAGTATCAGAGTCCACTTTCTGCATCTGTTGTCCCTCCTACCTTTGTCAGGTGGTTAACACTTCTTCTCTGACTTCTTCTAAAGACATGGTTCAGAGTT